AATTATATGACAATATATTTATTTTGTGAAATCAGTTGAATTATGTGGTACAGCATATTTCCAATCTTATACACCAAGCTTCTCATATTAAATAATAGAACTCGATATTTAAAAAAGAAAAGGACCGTTCAATTATGAAAGCTGTTTCAATTAAATTGTATGTATGTGACTAAATCTATGATATTTAATCAAGCCGTCATTTTTTTCTTCGCAACTTACTGTAAAATAGTAAATTCTGTATTCAAAAACTAAAAGACGAAAGCAGCTCTAAGCAACGACAATATGTGTTACACATTAATTTTCGCATTCAGAGAAGTAATAAATGTTTATAATACTTGTGATCAATTATTTAAGCCATTAATGATAGAAACTGCACATAGAATATCTCCAAAAAAAAAGACTTGAGTGAATGGCTTTCTTTTGTAACAATTTTCACTTTTTTTTCATGCATGAAGTTATTTATGGAGTTTTTTATCGTTTACTATTGACTTATCGCCATCAATATTATATTATTTTTTATTGTTGCCAACTATTATTATTCCAACTCTTAAATTATCATGTAATTACGTCAAAGTAGTTGCAGAGAAATAAGAAGTGTTAAGTTGTTAAATTACTGCAATTATCTTGTTGCATTAAGCCGTTGCCATGGACAGATGGATATAATTTCTGTTGTTAGGCCTAACTCTTTTAAGTAACGAAAAAACTTTTTTTTTTATTATTCAGTTTGATTATTTTGCGTCTTTTGTAATCAAATACAGTACTTACATTCTATTTCATTCATTTTCTGCTTTTATGGATGAAATATGTTATATGCGCCTACTTTCATATACATTTACAATTTATTGAACTTTTGCGAATTTATTACATATTACTGTTATACACCTATAAAAATAATTTTTGCTCCGACAAAAAAATGACTTAGAGCTTATTTTTTCAAATATGTCTTATTTCAACTGTTCAGGAATATAAGTTTCTTTTTTATTATAAAATCATAGATTCTTGCACAGGGAATCCTTTACGAATTCCATTCTTGCACTTGATGAAATAATTTTTTCTTTTTGCATTCATTTTATCTGAGAGGTTAAAATTTTCTTTTTAAATTTCCTATTATATCAAATGTTGATTGGAGGCACAGAGACAAGAATAAAAAATAATGACTTATATAAAAATTATCTTTATTATGTATTTTACCTATGTTTAAATGTATATCAAGATAATTTTATAATCCAAAACATTCATCGTATCGTTGCAACGAACACAATAAATGCATTACTTCAGATGACAAAATTGCGGTGAAGTTTTTGAGCAATAACGCAAGCATTACGAACATTTTGAAAAATCATATAAAAATTATTATTAAGTTAAGTTTTATCTTTACAAAAGTCATTTTCATTATTTGCTTCAATACTTGTAGAAATTGAATCAAATCTACAAACAAAACACCTTGCATTGTTTTCTGGATATTCACATAGATTTTCTCATAAATTCACATTGCTATCATTTCACTTAATTATGCTTATCTGAGATATTATTAGAATAATCCAAAAAATAAAAAATAAAAAATTGCTTAAAAAATTTTAATTCTTTGCAAAAAATTGGCTAATGCATTTTATATGCATATTTTACGTACATTTTAAAAAATATTTTCTAAAAAAATTAATCTCAAAAATTGAAAGAAATATTTGCAGATCTTAATTTAATTTTTGTGAATTTTAACATTTTTACCAGCTTGCAAAAATATATGATCAATAACCATGTACCTCTCTTTATCATTTCAGTTGTCATTATTGTTATTGTAAGTAAAATATTCAGTTACGATAATCGCATTCGAACTTTTCGCCAATATAGCAGAACATATTTTGCGATAGTAGTGGGTAGTGCAATGGATATCGAGAAAAAATACGTTCAGGAAGCATACAGATATTTAGCATCATTTTCGAATGCTGCTTGCTGCCGAAATGAAACTCGAAAATCAGTAGTTCGATGGGTTAATGTTCAAAAATTTGTTAATCAACTCTCGCTAGGCGCAATTGCTATTGATATTGGCAAGTTCATTTTTTTTTATTTGTAATAATAAAATTACAAATATAATTTACAAAAAAAGACACATTTCTAAAATTTACAGATCGTGGCTTATTCCGTAATAGCACTAAGTTCATTCATAGCCGAAGTTGTTAACAAAAACGAATATTTAAGCTGTGAACAGGTTGAAGGAATGCTGGAGTTGCGACATTTTAACTTTCATTGGCTGCTAAGTAAGCTAATCTCACTGCTCATTGAGAGGATGGTCATGCTGAGGTATTTTTAATTCAGGTTGTGGTGAAGCAAAATACCACAGGAGCGATTGCTTCTTTATGGACTGCGATACATGTTTAGAAATGCTTGTGCAGTTGCAGTCACCGCCAATGGTTGATTTGCAGTTAGCTGATGTTCTAAATTTACCGTATAGGTAAAGGGCACAATTTTTGGCCTGGAATTGTATCTGAATTGATTTCATTTTAGTGTGGAATTTGATTTTAATCATTAACTATAAAATTGAAATGGATAGAGGGAGAAGAGATTGAAGATTATGTGCTTAATCACTGAACATAATCTTCTAACTATCATCTTCAAGCTTTGAAATTTTCGATAATTCGGCACTAATACCTTTGAAATTATAGATCGAATAGTATTGATGCTGTCTTATTAGTATCTGTTTTACACCATTTTACAACACTCGATCGAAGAAAACGAGTGCTAACTGAAGTAGCACGATGTTTGCGACCTCGGCAAGTTGTTTATTCCTGATGTTTCTTTGGTAGTTTACGGAAAATAAACTAACAAGATTGTTCTGTACTCAGTGGAGCATACCTCGAGATGACCACATGACGGATATGAACGCATAGAAGTTTTTTTAATAAAAGTTAGAAAAGCTACTCATCAAAACAATTTTTCCATTCATTTTATCCTTGGTAATTTAATCTCGATATATGGTAATATCACCTAGTCTTATGCCAAAATTCAGAGAATATTTCCCAACTCTTTTGCATGCATTACTCAATAGATGCATTCCCGTGGTGTGATGAAACATTAGAAGTTAAGTTTTGCCAAGAGATAACTAACATATATTCAAATTTTCAAAAACATTCATAAATATACCTTGCTTTCCGTATTTTTTAGTGGCCAAGTACTGATATATGTTTGGGCATTCGAACAACCCAACGGAAAATTTCCGTCACAGGACGTACTGGTGCCTTGCCAGTTGCATCGTTGCGATAATATTTCTCCTAATGGTCACTTAAGTTTTCTCCCTTTCTAATAATAATAAAACATTTCCCTCTTTCTCTTCTATCTCGTCAGTCAATCAATTTCATTCGCTGTAAAAAATATGTTTTCCTCACGATCAAGAAATGATCCCTCTCTGTCAAGCGGATGAGTGAACAAAATCTTTATAGTATGACTGAATCTCGATTTTCTTCGATATTATTCCGCTATCCGTTGTTATTTTGGATAGTGCAGAAATCAAGTTTATTGAAAGCTTAGATCTCTGAAATTTTTATTTTCTTTTTTTTTAAAATTTGGAATCATATGAAATTGGGGGAAAAAAAAGAAAAAGATGAAATTTCAATTTGTCAAAAAATAAAGATCATATTTTCTTGTTCTGTTTATTTTATCAAAAACATATTTCTAAACCCATTGCAGCGGTCAAATTCCATATGAATTCAACAAGAGAAGAGCGCCTAATAAGGGTAAGCTTTTGGTAAATTAGAATATATAATTAATAAAAAATTGTACGATGCGACCTGGACTATATTATCTATCCTATTTATTGCAGTAAGCTTCTTAACGATTTAACTCGCAGGTCGAGTTCTTCGATCTGAGATTGCTTGCACTTTTCATGACATAGTATACCATAAATTCCACATTGCAAAAAGCCGAGATTAGCTTTTTTCTTCAACTGTCTAAATCAAACAATGAAATGTCTTCCATGCAGATGACATGTGGAGCTACTTTTAGTTGGTTTAGTTAAATTTAACATTAGCATTCGCAATTTTTTCACGAAATCGAATTATAATCGCTTTTCAAGGATTCTATAGCCGTGAACTTCTTGACAAAGAATACTAAACACACATCGTTATTTCAACGCATCTCTAAAGTATTTACAACCTTCCGAATACCACCGCAATATATTCCACCGTCGACTCTCCACAACGAGTGTGCAACAAAACGCTATTTAAGCACACTGATAGCAGGCAATTTGCGACGCCTAATGCGACACAATGCGGTTGAACGGTTCTCCTTGGAACTTGCAGAACACACCATTGAAATGGCTTTAGTGGAAGTGTTGTGCATCAAACAACAGTATATTTTGTATCGATTTTACCATGTTTTTAAAAAAGTTAGTTCACCAAATTTCAACAGATAAAAGAGGAGCCAAAAAATATGTAAACGATGGAATTATACTCGTTCTTTTTCCCATTAGTAATAATATGTAATATTAATGAATGATATTTCCCGAACATCATATTACATTTTATGGGAATTGTTTAGGTGGGGAATGGTTGCAGGATGAACTGAAATCTCTGATAACAACGATACCATCGTTACGGCTGGTACATCTCGACTATGAACATGCAAATTGGTGGGCAATTGCCGAAAAAGCTGATTCATTCTCGTGACTTTTCTATCACGCAGCATTAATTTGGCCCAAGAAAAATAGTAAATTCTATTTCTGGTTATTACTTCTCTGAATGCGAAAATTAATGTGTAACACATATTGTCGTTGCTTAGAGCTGCTTTCGTCTTTTAGTTTTTGAATACAGAATTTACTATTTTACAGTAAGTTGCGAAGAAAAAAATGACGGCTTGATTAAATATCATAGATTTAGTCACATACATACAATTTAATTGAAACAGCTTTCATAATTGAACGGTCCTTTTCTTTTTTAAATATCGAGTTCTATTATTTAATATGAGAAGCTTGGTGTATAAGATTGGAAATATGCTGTACCACATAATTCAACTGATTTCACAAAATAAATATATTGTCATATAATT